TAAATAATAACACAAGTCTTAAGGACTAAATTCTGAAAATATTACAGAGAACTTGACATTTATATGAAAAGGCAGTGTTGGCAAGGCTTGACTTTAATATATCATCAGAAGCTAGCACTTATTAGGCCATCTTTCAGGCAATGTAACTACTGAGGAATGAGATAAAATCCACTGAAATATACACATAAATAAAAAAGTATATTTTAGTAATCTAGTGCTTCAGATTTAGTGAGAAACAGAATGATAAAATTCAATTGCTATAATGATTAACCCAAAAGACAAAAAAACCATGTCTGACATAAAAACTACCACAGAGTTATGATACCAGAATAACACCTCTTGATATTTTTAACTATTAAGTCGGTCGAGAAAAATACAAGAAAATGTCAGCAGTAAATATGTTGAGGCAGAAATAAGAACAAACTTTTTCATGGCTTCTTTGTTTGATAACATGAGCCAGGCACTAACTTGTCTACTTGTGCACAAGTACAAAAAGTAAAATAGAAACATTACTTAATAAGGTGGTACACCTGAGGTTCTTAACTTAATTAACTAGATCAACACTAGTACTTAATAAACTAGAACACTGCCAAAGAGCGTGACTAGTGGATAATTTTCAATGCATATTTTTTGTTATCCAATAGGTGAATTATATTATTCCTCTCCACTTTCCCAACCACTTTTTACCCCAATCGCCATGTTAGTGTTCTAAGGAAAAGTAACAAATCAAAGTAACAAAACCAATTATTTGCAAAAGTTTTGTAGGAGAAACTGTTGAGTATAAAGATTGTATTATCATTAGTTATAATTTAAAGAGTTTATTAAAGGTATAAATTTCCCATAAAAAACGCTGTGGTCAGAAGTTATCAACCAGCATGTACCGATCTTAAGTATGAATAATCAAATTCTGACAACAAAAGATGTCTAACAAGAAAAATTACCAACTATCAGCCCCATCAGTAAGACATTGTCTGCGTTTCATTAGCACTTACCATGCATTATAATGTCTAGGATTGACTCTGATAGCATTTCGAAAACAAGCTAATGCTTTGTCTAATTCTTCAGTTAACACAAACTCATGCCCTAATAGGGTATAGGCATAAGCATAATTTGGATCAACCTGGATAGCTCTCTGGAAGAATTTAATTGCAATATCATGTTCCCGTTGCAAACTGAAACAGTTCCCTGCAGCACACCAGGCCTTAAAAAAATGGAAACAAAAATCAAACGCACAATTAAAATTTTACTTTTTTCTAACAAAACTGTATCTATGGCTACAATCAAGACTCAGATCTCGCTTATAGAACAGAAAGAAAAAAACTGAAGTTTTAATGGGGATAGTCAATTCTCATTACTCATGGATTCTGTATTTGCAAAACTGTCTACTTGCTAAAAGTTATTTGTAAAACCCAAATCAATGCTCACAGTGCTTTAGTGGTCATTGGTGGACTCAAAATATGAGTTGCCCAACAGGCACATTCTCTGTTGAGGTAAAAAAAAGGCAACTCTCTGCCTCCTTTTCCCAGCAGGTCAGATTATCAGAGGATAGAGACTGGAGGGGGGCAATGCAGGGCAAGAAGCTCAGGTTCGGGGGGCCAAATGGACCGAATTTGAATGCCAACTCTGGTACCTATTTGCACAGTGGCCTCTGGCAAGCCACTTTAACACTTTGGAACACTTTCTCTTTTGTAAAATAAACAGAATGTACCAGGCTGAGTTGTTTTTAGGATTTAAGATTATAATCTGTGTGAGGGAGATGTGTGTGTGTGTACTTCCCCTAAGAGCAATGTTCAGTATTTGCTAATTCACTCTTCATAGAGACTATAGAGCATTACTACCAAGAATAGTAAGAACTGACTGTTTCAAATTCTAAGCTTAAATATGTTACGAAAGTACCACTAAATATTCTTGGGATGCACTGAAATACAATTCTTACAGGACTGCAGCATGTAAACGGATTGTGGCTATGTCTTAAAATGACAATTAAAATTACTATTTTATTTCAATTTAAAATTACCAGTTTTTCAATCTATACAATTTCTGCTCAATGAACTCTAATCTTGGTGATAACAGCAGTTTTAACACAGCCAAATCTTGATTAATCTTGAATGAAATATCTAGTTTGTGATTTTCCTATTTATGAATCTGTACCATCTATTTTAGGGCTCTGTGTTCTTCTGAGTTCTGCCTATAGAGAAGGGTGTGGGTGATGCTAAATGGTGTTGGGATTATTTGGTTCATCTCCGTTTGGTAAGGGTGATCAAAAGATAGCTACATATGTTTTAGTTAACATACCTCTGGTGAATTTTTATCCATGTCTGTTAAGTCTTTTGAAAGAACTGAAAGAGCAACATCCTTTTGAAGATGCCAAAGTGTTGTAGAGTAGATCTCCATGCCTTCAACTCTATAATTCTCAATTCTTCTAACCTCTGAGAATATTCTTTCAGCCTGAAATACAAAAACTAGTAAGAGGAAAACAACTTGATACAATCTACATATCTACAGGGAGAGCATTGGGTACTCTTCTCATAGGACCTAAANTTTTTTCACGCTATAGCTCTGTAATTTGAAAAACAGTGAGACGAGAGAAACACATCAGACTAGACCTAGTTTCGTTATTAGCTTGCATAACTCACTATACTTTTCCTTTATGTACTCACCATGTATTATTTTTGTAATTATTTGATTGTCTCTTCTCCTTATATAGAAGGGGACTACATGGTAAGCTCTTCAGAGGCAGGAAATGAGGTTGCTTTGCTCGCAAAAGCAACAAATATTCCTAGTGCCTGACATATACTAGGTACTCAATAAATATTTGTTGAATAATGCACACATGTTAATTTGTCACCTGTTCACGTATTTGGGTCCTAAGAGGATTGTTGAAGTCTTACCTTTAAGATAACTCCCCGATGGGAAAATTGTCTTTCTATATATGGAATCTTTATAAGGGATAACCACAGAATTTTAAATATCCACACACCCATCCTTCCTATGAGTATTTTATGAATGAAATCACAAAGACAGTAACATTAATAGCTCTTGAGAATGGGGAAAATGAGATAAAAAAGTATAAGTAACTATTGGTTTATTAAAAAGGGGTCAAAACTTAACACAATGCTGAAGACCATTAAGATATACACCTTACCTTATATTTTTCATTTGCAAATAAAACTGAGGCTCTGTGAAATTTGCATAGAGGGTTCTTGGGATCAATAACAATGGCTTTGTTTAGAGTATCCAAAGCCTTCTCAGATTTTTTCAGTGCATGCTGAACCTGTAAGAAATAAAGATCCTATTAATGTCAACCTTTTGATATTTATGAAGGTGAGAACCAAATAATGTGACTCAAAACCAACATAAAGATAATAAAACTACTAGGGATAAGGTTGTATGATCTTGCTGGGTTGCCCAATGGGTTAAGTGGATTTAGTAACTGATTACCAAATTATCAATAGATTATCTCTAAAATCTCTTCCTACTCTAGTTCAAGCACTTCACTTTGAAGATGAGAACACTAAAGTCAAGAGATGTTAAATAACTTGGTCTGTGATCAGAACCTATGTCCTCTAGAGCCCAATTCAACATTACATACCCATAACGATAACCAAGATTACATCTTTAGAGAAGATATCTGGTTACCTTTAAGTCTAAAAGACAAGAAAAACCTTGGTTTTCCCTTCACAAAAAAATTTGTACCATTTAGCTAGATAGTACTAACATTTCAACAGGAATATTATGGTCCTCTAAGTATTAGGATTTTCAAATGTGTTAAAAAAAAAACTCTAGAGGATTTGGCTCTGAACTTTACTAACCTTGTTTCACTCACAATATTTATACTTTTGCCTATTTTATGAATTTATTATAAAAATAATTCTGTTGTACAAATTTGAAAACAATTGATCTATAACACTGGGAAGTAAATAATTTATTTTAAATAACTTAAAAAACAAGCCAAGCCTCATTATTCATTCATTTGTACATACTCATATTCTGCTGTGTTCCTCCTTGGATGAATTATTTGTTAAAAATAAAGTGGAGTGAATGCATGTGGCTGTGGAACCTTTAAAAAAAAATCACTGTAAAAGAATATGAGGGTAGGTACTGCCAATATCTGGTTGTTAAATTCATCTATGCAATGATTATTACTACATGTGGCCAACTATTCTGCCCATAGGATTGAAATCCTAAATACTAATGTCCTAAGAGAAAAGCATACTTTTTTTATCTGAAAACTTCTTCCAATAAAGCACTCAAAATGTTAAAATAATTTCTTCCACAATAACTTTAGAAGA